ACCTGGAGCCCCTCTCGTGGCCTGGCCGGGCCCCCTATTCACAGTCCCGGGGCCGGGACCTGACTTGGAAATCGGGGTCTCTGCGGGTGTGCTCGGGTTAAGAGGAGTCATTCTGGATGAGGGGAGCTCCAGTCCAATGACTGGCGTCCCCCAAGGAGGCACAGAGGAGGCCACACGGAGCCGGAAGGAGGCTGGAGGGATCGCTGCCACCGCTGGGGGCGGGAAGAGGGGGCGGGAAGAGAAGGGGGCTCGGCGGGGACCCCTAGCTGTGGGCCTGCGGGCCCAGAGCCGGGCAAGGAAACGTCTCGTCTGTGTTCTAAGCCACCCCACAGGTGGGGCTTGGCCACAGCAGCCACAGGGCACGCCCACAGGCCCGCCCCCGGCTGCCCCACCCGCTGCCCCCTGAAGTGTTGCCCCTGTGTTCCGGGCGGGCCTGGGCGGTGACCTCGTCTCCAGCCTCGTGCCTCCCTCCTCCGTCAGCCGGGACCGCAGGGGCCTCCTTCCAGAACACCTCTCTGCGCCCGCCGCTGCCCCCGTGGAAGCCCCTGCCAACTCTCTGGACTGTCCCACTGCTTCCTCCAGCCGGCCCGGGGCGCGGGGAGCTCACGCCCACCGCGAGGGCACGAATCCCCCCTCTGCAACTCCCGCAGATGCATGTGCTGGCGAACCTCAAGGGGCTGAGGGTCAGGGGCCGTAGGGCGGGTGACGGCAGGCGAGGAGGGGGCCCGAGGAGGGGAATCCGGGGGCCTGGGCATTGAGAACAGAGGCAGCCATCCTGGGGTGCCACACCCAGCCGAGGTGTGGAGAGGCAAAGACATATGGGTTCCCGGCTGTGCCCTCTGCAGCTCTACCCCCCGGGCCAGCCACCGGCCACTCGGCCTCCCGCTGCCCCACCTTCGCAGCTGGCACGTGCTCCCTAGAGACGGCGTCAGTGGAGGGGGGTGAGGCCGACACGCGGGGCCTGGGGCAGGACGTAGCCGTGGCAAGCACCTGCTGGGGGGAGAGTCACAAAGAGGGGCGAGACCCCGCAGGGGCTCACTCAGGCCGGGCCTGGGTTCCGGCTCTGTCTCCAGGGGACGTCGCTTCCCCGGTGGGCTGGCTTCCTGGTCTGGGCCGTGAGGGGGCTGAAATGGAGGACCGCAAGCCTCCCAGGGCCTGCTCACCCCGCACCCCAGGCCTCATCAGGCTGGCGGGATGGGGGCGCCCACAGGGCACTCCAGCAACCTCTTCCCAGGACCTCGCCCTCCAGGGCGGATGGACGGGGAGGCCGGTTCCGGCCCCCAGCACATGGCGGAGCCGCGGCTGCCCCTTCCGGGATGCAGTCACAGCCCCGCGGCTCGGCCTTACCCGTCCTGTCCGCGCGCCCACCCCGCTGTCACTGCGTCCTCGCGCTGGGGACGCAAGCTGGGGTGCAGCGACCTGCCCGACAGAGGCCAGCGGCGGCGACGCGGTGAAGGGCCACGGGCAGCCAGAGGAACTGACCTCCTCCGACTGCGTCCTGTGCGCCCCGCGCCTCAGGTCAGGGGTGTCCCAGCCCCCACAGGTGGTCTCTTCAGGCCCGGAGCTTGCCCGTTCCCTCCCTTCCCCACCTGCTCCTTTTCCACCTGCTCTGTGGCCAAATTCCCCGCGGCCTCCTGGTCTCCGTGTCTTTGTGCTTCCCCGCGCCGGCCCACGGGCAGCGCCGGTCCACCCCGGCCCAGGCCCTCCCTCTGCACCCGCAGCAGCGCCCCGTCTCATCGCCCTGGGGTCCTTGCTCTTCTCTCCAGGCGTCATGCCCTGGGGCTGCCCCACCTCCTCTCCAGCCCCGGGAGGGAGAGGCCACGTGGTCCTCACAGCCCCTCCGGGGACCAAGCAGCCCGGCCGGCTCCGGGAGCGCTGAGGCCACGGGAGCTGAACGCATGGTGGCCGCAGCTCAAGCCCCCCACCTCTGAGCAGCCCACCCGGTGGACATGGAGGCTACTAACAAAAGGTGCAGCTTGGGCTGGAGGCAGGGGGACCCCCAGAATGACCCCTGGGTGTCCCCTCCTGGGCCAGCGGACGGCTGAACAGCGGGTGCAGCCCGCCCCCTGGAGGTCAGCCCAGGCGCCGCAGCCGGGCAGGAACCGGAAAACAAAACACACACCTTTGTTTGGCTGTAGCCAAGGCAGCGGCCCCCGCCCCAGGGGCCGGGAGCAGGACACCGCTCCAGGGGGATGTGAGGGGCCTCCCAAGTTAGCCTGGTCCTGCTTTTCCCCTCCAGGGTCCCGGCGTCCGGTGCACCCACGCTACTCCTCACCCCGCCTGGCTCCAGGCCCGCTGCCAGGTGAGGAGCCCTGCAGGCTCCCAGCGGCTGGGACGCTCCCCGCTCCCCGGCCGGAGCCCAGGCCCTGCGAGCTCTGCGGGTGCACGAGCCTGGCCCGCGGGCGCTCTGCTCCGCAGGACCTCGAGGGAGCAGAAGCATTTGCTGCCCAAGGACTGGGGGTGTACTGGAGGGCAGCGCTGGGCCAAGGCCAGCAGACCCTCGGGTGATCCCATCCTCGGACCTTTGGTGCCATCTATGCACCCCAATTTCTGGAGGAATACACCGAGGTCTTCCACCCTGAAGCCCCCTCCACACCAGGGGGGCGGGCTCCTCCTAGTTCCAGGTGTCCAGAGTGTTGGTGCAGGTCCCCAGAACCTGTCCTCTCCGGGCTGCCAGGGGGACGGTCCTGGCCCAGGTGACCCCTGGAAACCTGGGGGGCTCCTCCCCCCCCACTCTATGGAGCCTGTGGTCGCAGACCCGAAGCCCAGCGCCGCGGCAGAAGCTGCCTGCAGCCTCTCAGCCTCTTTCTTCTCCAAACGCCCCCCCAGCCCCCCTAGCCCCCCCCCCTGTCCAGCACCCCTCTGCCCCGCCTCAGGGTCCCCACCTGTGAAGCCAACGCGGTGACTCTCTGGGCGCGCGGCGACGCCAAGAGGAAACTGCCTCGCGTGGGAGGGGCTGCGCAGGGGTCCCCCAGGATTCCAGGGGCTCCCGTCTCCCAAGGAAACCCCACGGGGGGCGCTGGGTCGGGCCCCGCCGGGCGGAACCTCCCCGGCTCCGCACCCGCCCGCCGGGCCCGGCCGTCCCGCCCTCGGCCCAGTTTCCCGGGGCCCGGGGCGCGGCGCGGGCGGGCCGGGCACTCACCTGGCAATCGACCATCGTCCTCAGCCCCGGCTGCGCATCGCCGGCCCCAGGGCGGGGCCCGGGGCTCGCAGCGGCCGCTCGCCTCGGCCCGCGCGCGGCGCAGGGGGGCGCCCGGCGGCGGGGCTCATGGCGCGGCCTCGCGTCCCCGCCGGGCCCGGGGCTGCGCCGCCCTCGCCCGCGCCGCCGCCGCCCGCGCCGCTGCCATTGTCTGCGCCGCCCGCCCGCCCGCCCGCCCGGCCGCTCGGGCCCCGCGCTCGGCGCCGCCCGGGCTCGCGGGCTCCGGCCGGGGGCGGGACAGCCGCGGCCCCGCCCCGCCCCGGGACACGCCCCGGCCCCGCCCGGCCCCGCCCCCGGCCGCCCCGGAACCCGCCCCCGGCTCGGCCCCGCCCCCGGGCCCCGCCCCCGCCCCGCCCCGCCCCCGCCCCGCCCCCGGGACCCGCCCCGGCCCCGGCCCCGCTAGGCCCTGGCCCCGCCTCCGGCTCGGCCCCGCCCGGTCCCGCCCCGGACCCCCCCGGACCCGCCCCCGGCCGCCCCTGGCCCCGCCCCCGACACGGCCCCGCCCCCGGGACCCGCCACGGACGCCCCGGGCCCGCCCGGCTCCGCCCCCGGCCCCGCCCCCGGGACCCGCCCCGCTAGGCCCTGGCCCCGCCTCCGGCTGGGCCCCGCCCGGTCCCGCCCCGGACCCCGCCCGGACCCGCCCCGGACCCCGCCCGGACCCGCCTGGCCCCCGCCCGGCACCGCCCCGGCCCCCTCCCCGGCCCCCGCCCGGCCCCGCCCGGCCCCGCCCGGCCCCCCGCCCGGCCCCGCCGCAGGTGCGAGGGGCGGGCCCGCCGGCTGCGGGGGCGCGCGGCGCGGGCGGCGGGGCTCGGGCCGGGGGTCCGGCGGCCAGCGCGCGCCCGAGAGCCCCGCCCAGCCGCGCGCACGCCCGGACCTCCGCGCTGGCCGGCCCCGCGTGGGCGGGTCCCCGCCAGTCCCGAGCCCCTGTGCGGGGCCTCCTCTGCCCCCCGGGCCTCCACCCCGGGCCCAGCCAGCGACTGCGGTGCTGGCCGGGATGGCAGTGGCGACCCGGGGACGCGGGAGTCGCCCTGACCCCCCGCCCCTACCCCATGTGCCCCCAGAGGTCAGGTGCGCGCAGGGCTGAGCCGGGACCTGGAAGCAGAAGTGAAGGGCAGGTCTGCAGGCACAAGGTCAGGCCGCCCCTGCCTGCCCCTCTGCTGTCCAGGCCTCTGGCAGGGCCGCAGGGACACAGAGGGCAGCTTGTCCCTGCTGCGGCCCTGCTGGTGTCCAGCTCAGGGGCCCACGAAGGAGGGGTGTCCCAGGGGGTGTTTACTGTAACCGGGAGCCCCTGGCTGCCCCAATCTCACCCCTTTTTCTACAGGAGCAGTGAGCCCACCCGGCCTGGGCTCACTGCCCCCTCCCTCTGTAACCCCCAGACGCCCTCCAGGGCACTCCTGCGCTGCAGCCCAGCCCAGAACTTCTCCTCACCTCATGGAGACAGTCCGGCCCCTCTCCTGCCTTTGGTCCTGCTCGCTGACCAAACCACACGCTGCAGGAGGAGTGGGCTTGGGGCTGGCCCCAGGTTTTCTGGGATCTCCAGGTGGCTGCCCACTCCTGATGTGGACATGGTACCCCCCCAGGCTCTGCCTCACCCCTGCATGGAACGCTGCTGCTGCCTCCAGGGACAGACGGTGGGCCAGGGGGCCCACCCCACCTCTGCCCTGCCAGGCTCGGGGGTGAGTCTCTGGAGCCACAGGAGAGGCTGCCCCGGCAGGCCTCTGACCCCGCAGATGGCCTCGCTGGGCTGAGGCTGGCCTGGAGCCAGGAGGGCCTGAGACATTTGTCATGCCCTCGGGAGCTAAGAGCCCATGAACCCTCCAAGTTAACCCAGGTTTTTTTTAAAGCCATACATACCCCCCTCCACCACTCCCACAAGTTGATGGCGTTTGAAACCCAGGCTGCCTGACCCCCGGTGGCCAACAGCACGGACACTTGGATATGCAGGTGGTCAGGCCCTGCTGAGGGCCTGGCACAGGCCAGCTTTATTAAAAACCACCCGAACACTCTTACAAAGGAGGAAGCTCAGGCTCAGGCCAGTCCACCCTGGGGTGCCGGCTGGATTGGACCAGAGGAGCTGCCGAGACCTGGTGCCTTTCAAAGCCTCACTGCGGGGTCCCAAGTGAGGTCACAGCGCTGACACCTCCTGCAGCCAGAGGACAGGGTCCGGCCGCCTTTCGCACCCCACTCTGACAGGGGGCCGAGACCGCACCCGGCAAAGGCACTGCTGCTGGGGTTGGCTGTGGGCGCACCTGCTTGACCCGGCTCCCTGCTCCCGGCGTCTGGCCGGTCTCTGTGTGCTGGGCACGTGGGCACAACCCTTTCGAGTTCGCAGAGGCTTTTCTGCATTCATTTCCGGCCGGGTTCTGCTAGACGGGGCACAGAACAGTCTGCTCTCGCCCGAGGCTCGGCCCCTGGGTGGCTGGGATCCCTGAGGGGCAAGCTGCTCCGTGGGCACGGCAGCCCGGCTCTGCGTCAGCCCCTCAGCCAGCGGGTGTCCTTGTCCAGGGTGGAAAAGCGGATCAGCTTCAGGCTGGGTGGCTGCGGCTTCCTGTCGTCCCAGAGGTACTCGGGGGACAGCACCCTGGAGGGCTTGTGCGAGATGAAGCGGCGGTTCAGGTGGCTCTCCTCCTGCCAGGCAGCCATGACGCCGTTGGCCTTGTCGGCCAGGATGGCCATGTGGCAGCCCCTGGTAAACTCGTACACCCTGGCCACGCGCCCCCCAAAGACCGCCCCGCCATAGTAGAAGTCCCCCTCGCCCTCCGCCACGAAGGCGGTGGAGACCGGCCTGCGCTCGTAGGGGAACTGCTGGCGGGGGGCCATGAAGTAGCCGGGGTGGATGGCCGCGACCAGGTCGCCCAGAGTCTCGGGGCCCCAGGGGTTCCGGAACACCATGTCCACATCGAGGCAGAAGAGGTAGTCCACCTCCCGGTGCGCCCTGGCGGCGATGTGCTGGCTGATGGTCTCCATCCGGCGCATGGACACCTCCTCCCAGCGGGAGTGCGGCTGCACCGGGAAGACGCTGAGGCGGCGGCCGGCGCCGAGTGGGCCCCGGGGGATGGCCGCGGGGTCGTCGGTAAAGACATAGTAGTGCACCCGGTAACCTCGCATGAAGAACCGCTCGGCCGACTCCAGGAAGTGCCGCGTGAAGCCCGTGTACCTGGGGGCGGCCACCCGTCACCTGCCGCGGCGGGGCCACTCCCGGGGTCCCCACCTGAGCTCCACTTCCCCAGTCACGGTCCCCAGCGCTGAAGACCCGGGTGAGCAAGCTGAGCCCGCACGCGAGCGCCACCCCGCGCTCGCCACCTCCAGCCTCACTCACTGGCCAGGAGGAAGGCCCTGCGGTTCCCGTTTCAGAGGCCGAGACGCCTAGGCCAGAGAGGGGGCAGCAACAAGCAGCAGTGACCGCACCAAAGGAGGGTGAACTGGGGGGGGCCTGGGGGGGACGTGGAACAGGAGGAAACTGCAGCCACCGCCCCTCGCCGCCCCAGGCTGCAGCTGTTCAGACCAGGGGGTGACCCGGCCGCGGGTGGGTCATCCAGGGAGCCCCAACACAGTCCCCCAGGGGTCCCCAAAGAGGCAGGTAGGCTCGGGGAGGAAACAGGAAATGTGCCGAGAGGTGGAGGGGAGAGCTCCTGCGGCAGGCCAGGGGCCCCGGACCTCCTGACCGCGTGGCCTGACCACAGCCCCCAGTTATGGGAAGTGGTCTGGGGTCAACGCCTCATCTCTGAGGCCTGACTGGACCACTTGGGGGAGGCAGAGGGCCGAGGGAGTCCTGACTCAAAGTTCCCACTGCCCCGCCCCTGGGCTGCCCCCGCCCCGGCCCCCTCCCCTCAGCCTCTCCCCACAGCGCCTGGCTCAGGGCCTCCTAGTACCCAGGTCAGGTCCTTCCCAGACCATCCGCCCCTGTGGCTCAGGGGTGCCCTCACCCCCACCCCAGCCCACTACTCACTTCCCCACTGCAAACACCGTGACCCCAATGGTCAGGTTCAGCGGCTGGTAGATGTGCTGCAGGAGCTCGGGGTCGAAGGTGCCCTCGGACACGATGGGCGCCAGCCAGGGCGTGAGTGTCAGCAGCTCCACAGGCCTGGCGGAGGGGAGCCTGGGGCTGAGCGCTCCCCTGGTAACATCCACATCCTGCCCAGGCACCGCCACCCCCACCCCTCCCCGAGCTGCGTGGCCCTGGGCAGCTCTGTGCACCCCTCTGGCCCCCAGCAAGGTGGGGACGACTACTACGCACCTGAATACAGCTCAGAGGTGACACAACCGGTGCGCGTCCCCATCCCTGACTCCTAGACCGTGTCTCTGCCTGGTCTCAGGTGACCGGACCCCAAGGCCACCTCCCCTGCCCACCACCCAGCGTAGACGGCCTTCTCGCCAGTCCAGCCTCCTCTTTGCACCCTGACCGCCTCGATGCCTACCTCTGCTCCAGCAGCTTGGGCTGCGGGTACTGTGCCCTGGAACAGAGAAGGGCGCGGTGAGCAGAGGGAGGCAGCCCCGCCAGGGCCACCCAGGGGACAGAGACCATCGCTTACTGTGCCGCGGGCTGGAAAGGCCTCTCCCCCTTGTACTGCAGCTTCATGTTGCTGATGGTGGAGGCGACAAGAGCTGTTAGTTAGTGGAGGTGCTCAGCAGGGAAGAAGAAAGCTGAGATGAACCAAATGCCCCCACGGGGCAGGCACACCCCAGGTCCCAGCGGACCCCCTCCAGCCTCCCCGCTGCTCTGCCCCCTCCCCCCACGCACATGCGCAGGCCTGGGGTGGGCGCGGCGAGGCACCCTCGGGCCGCCACTCTCCAAAGCTGACGCCTTCTCCGGCACTGGGCACCCAGCACCAGCTAAGAGACTAGAGAAACTGGGGGGGCCCAGCTGTGCCACTTTCTAGCAGGGTCCTCAGGCGAGCCCATTAACCTGGGCTCCCAGTGGGGTCTGCGGTAGGATCCGGGTCTCCGGCGCCATCCGGGCGTGCTCTGAGGGCGTCTGCATGTGAAGACTGTCCGGATGCGCTGGGCCGGCCGGACCCTGCTCTGACGCCGGCCTGTAGATTTCCAGCTGGCCCTGCCACCCCTGCAGCCAGCTTCCCTCCCTCCCTCCCCTGGCTGTGTCTTCAGTAGGACCCCGCCAGATACACCCCTTTTCCGCATCTATAAAAGGGGATCCACCCATGGGAATTAAACAAGGCCTATGAGTTGGGGTGCCCCCACCCCTGCCCGAGCACACCTGCGAGGGCGGGCAGCCACTCGCTGCCTCAGACCAGTGTGGGTGCAGAAGGGAGCGGCCCCGGGAGAGCAGTGGCGGCTGCTGGGTAACCAAAGACGGCAGGTGGCAGGTGGCACGGAGCCTCCAGCTCTGCACCGAGAGCCACCAGCCCGCCCAGAGCCCTGGGGCCAGGCCTTCCACTCCCTGGGCTACAGATGGCAACAATGAAGCCTGCGGCTGTCCCAGGGGTGGGAGTGAGGCCCAGAGAAAGGACAGGCAGGCCCAAGGCCACCCAGGGAGCGAGTCAGGGCAGCTGGCTCCAGGCCCGCAGCAGGACACCTACGCCACATACTCCTGGAGGGCTCCTGCCTTCTCCAGTCCGCGTGGTATTTTTGGTGGTGAAATATACGCAGCGGAGATCTCCTTTAGCCCTTTGGAAGTGTACAGTCCCTGGCGCGAACCCCGTTCTCTGTCCACCCACCATCCCTCTCCAGGGGGCTTCATCCTCCCCAAATGAAACCTTCCCCATTAAACACCCCCCCACTATTCTGCTTCTGTCTCTATGAATCTGGCTGCTCTGGGACCCCATATTAGTGCATTCCTGTAATATTTGCCCTTCGGTGATGCGTCTGGACCCTCAAATCTACACTTCTTCAAGTCAATTCGCCCAACTGGCCCTCAGCCCCCATTTCCCATGACAAGCCCGATTCCAGCCCTGGCTTCAGAGCGATGGCACTGGAAGGGGTGAAGGTAAGAAGGGGGCCCCACTGAGGGCACAGCGGCCTGGGCGGCGCCAGGGACAGCAGCGGAGACTCTGCACCAGAGCCACAGATGGGCCCCCAGGGGAGCGCCTCCCTGCCCTGGCCCGGAAGTCAGAGTAACACAAGTCCAAGGAAAGAGGGAAGCAGCAGAAAGGAGCGACGTGGCCACAAGCAACATTCTCCAACTCCCGACGCATTCAAAGACACTCGGCCCGCACCTCCGGCCAGCACCCTAGATCTTGGATGCATAGATCAATCTTTAAAAAATAAAAGACTTTTGGCCACGACTGACATTCAGAACCAGGCAGGCCAGCGAGCGGCAGAGCCTGAGCATGGAGAAAGGGAAACGTGGTTAATGGGACGTGGTGGGGTGGGGCGGGGGGCGGAGGCCTCCGTGTGCTTGAATAATTGAAATTTAAACCAAAGAAAGCACCCCCATCTCTCCAACCAGCAAGACTCTGGGTTCGTTTTTTTGTAACACCCACTACCACCAGCACGAGCCAGGGCTGGGGGTGCATGAATGCCACTGTGTCCCGATCCTTCTGGAAAGACCCCCTGACAAGGGGATCGAGATTCTACTGTGAAAGAAAAGCCACAAGCTGGGCAAAAGAAAACAGATTTATAGCGACAAGGACCCCACCCCCACCCCCGGTGACCCCCAGGCCCGCTCAGTCAGGCTGAGCAAGCAAAGGCTTGTGACAGATTTTTATCTGCCAAGTCCTTGCCTTTCACACACACAGGTTGCACCTGCCAGGGATGGTGATCGGAGTTTAGAGGACTCTGCTCCTTGTCAGGGAACTCACCAGTGCCCGGGACAGGGACCACACGCTCTATTTCTATAGCGTTTTTTTTTTTTTTTTTGATTTATTTATTTATGCATACAAGAGCTGGGGTACAGGCGAGAGGTGCGGGGGGTGAGAGCATTCACCAGAGACAGAGTGGGGAGCAGAACAGGCAGACTGACTGAAATACACTGCCGAGGGGAGCAGCGGGCGAGCCAGGAGAGGTCTGCGCGCCATGTGGGTTGTTCCCTGGCCAGGGATCGAACTTGTGCTGCAGGGTAGCTTCACAGTGTTGTGCCTAACTCCTCGCGCCACCAGTGGGCCCTACAATGCTGTTTCTATAATGTGTTGCCTTCCATGTCACTTTTTTACTGAGTGCCCTGCCGGCTCCTTCCAGTCCCAACACCATCCGAGCTACCTGCGGGCATGGGCGGGGAGAGCCGCTGCCCGGGTCTGCTTTCTCACTGTGAATTATCTTGATTTTTGAGAATGAATCTTTTTCCCTCTACCTAGTCTCCATAATTATTTATAAGCAGGGAACGTAGCAAACAAAAGGTTCTTCAAGGATCGAAAAACATTCTATCCAAGCCGCTGCTTACAAACAAAGGCAGAACACTGGGGACTGGAAACACCCTAAATGCCCCCCAGTTGTCAGTGGGAAAGAGGGGTGTTCAAGATTTATGACCCAGTCCCTCGGTGGAGTGAAACAGTGGTAACCACGGAGGGATGAACCACATTGAAAAATAAAGCCAGCTCTGGGGAAAGAGGATAAAAATCCCAGCCATTTCCATTTCTGTTTTTAGAGCCAATGAGGTACACGCTGGACTCCCCTGGAGAGCAGAGCAGTGACCGAGGCAGGCCGGGCGCCTGCAGCCAGAGCGTGACTCCGGCCGGTGGGGCCCAAGAGGGAGACCCCTGGTCTCCCGGCCAGCTGCCTAATTGACTATGTTCTATGTTCACACTAAAACAGAAACGCTCCTTATTGACAGGCTGTCTCTGACCCGCATTTCAGACCTGCCATGAAAAACAAAAGACCTTGGGGCCAGACGCCCCCGAGCAGCGCCACCCAATTTTCACTCTTCATGGGCCCAAGTCAGAATGGCCCCAGGTTACAGACTGAGTCTCGTGTCCACTTGTCCCTCGGATCCACACAGAGCACAGCATTTGAGGCCACGTCCTGCAAAGCTACGGGCCCTCCCTTTCCGCCTGACAGGTGCAGCAGGTGAGGCTCAGAACTTGCAACAAGGTGAAACAGGAAGAACAGGGGCTGCCACGTCACCCGAAGATTGAAACGGGGGATTTCAACGCCACCCCTGCGGCAGCACACACATCACCCACTCACCACACTACCACAGCCCTGAGCTTGGCGCCCGGGAACCTGCAAACAAAGTGACCCAAACACAGTCTCCCCACTCTGGGCAGCCCACGGGGACCCCTAATTCTCTCAACCCCATACTTACAAGATCTCTGGGCAGGGGAGGTAATAGGGGACATAGGAGAATGGCAGCCAGTTGTCGACATGCACCCTGGGAAGGAGAAACACCTGCTGACTCTGCCCAGAGGCTGAAGACCCACTAAGTGCACGCTGGTGGGAGAGAGGAGCCCACTGTGTGGGGATGGAGGCAGAGGCCTGTCGGCCTGGCTGGCCTGGGGACACTGTCTCCCGCAGGGGGCCAGCCTGGGCTAGGGCAGGAGTACTCTGGGGGGTGAGGGGCCCCTGGACCGGCAGGGAACCCCCACGGGTGAACTGCACAGGGTGCGCAGGACTTCCTCATCTCCGCGGCTGGAAGGAAGAGCCAGGGAAGAGCAAGTGGGGGTGGGGGGCAAAACTCCAAAGCCAGAATTCCCTGCACTGAGGGAGGGGACAGGCGTCCAGGAGAGGTAGGCAGGGCCTGGGACGGGGAAGGGTGGGTGGGGATAGCGACTGGAAAGGAGGGGCCCGGGGCGTGCTCACCACAGAGCCCAGACGGCGGCGCCCACTAAGAGGCAGGAGCCCAGGCCCAGGGCCAGTCTGCGGGCACGCATGGCTGGGGCGGGGTCCCAGGGGTGGCGGCGGCCGGCGAGGGCGGCCGGCGGGGCCCGGACGCTGCGGAGGAAAGCGCCTCCTCAGAGCGGTGGCCCTGCCCTGGGCGCCCCGGGTCTCCGCGACCCGCCGAAGCTGCGGCTGTGCCGGGGGCGCCGCTGGACTGGGCGCCCGGCTCCTCTCTCGGGGCGGGCAGCGGCCTGGGGGACCCCCGGCAGCCAGACGCGCGCCACAGGCAGAGCCGCGCCCGGGGCCCCCACGGTGCCCTCCGGAGCCCCGCCCCGGCGCCCCAAGGGGCGGGAAGGCCTCGGCCCTCTGGCCCGCCCCGCCCCGCCCGCCGCCGTCCCAGCCGGGCTTGGGGATGGGCCGCGGAGGGCGGCACAGCCGCGGCGCCCCCGGGCGGGGTGTCCGGCGCGGGGGCGGCCGAGGGCAGAGGCAGCGCGGGGCTGGGCGCGGCCCGCTCCCCCGGGGCCTGGGCCGGCCGGTCCCGCGCCTCCCCGGCGGGCCTCGGCTCCCCGCCCGGGCCGCGCGCGCAGCGGCCTCAAGCCCCGCTTCGGGGCTCGGGGCTGGGGGGGCCCGGGGGGCCCGGGGGGCCCGGGGCCCGGGGTCGCCGACGCAGAGCCGGGCCGCACCGGGGCCGCGCCGAGCCCCGCAGCCGGACTTGCGGGGGGACGCGGGGCGGGGGCGCGACGGACCCCAGAAGTGCAGACTCAACTCACCCCTGCGGCCTGGCCCAAGTTAGGTCGGACGGGAGCGCACCCCGCGGGGACACCGGGCCGCCCGCCGGCCCGCTGGCCGCCGGCGTCCTCCGGGCCTCCTGCGGGCCTGCGAGACCGGCCCGCTCGCCCCGCCCCCCGCCGCGGCCCCGCCCCCGCCGCGGCCCCGCCCCCGCCGCGGCCCCGCCCCCCGCCGCGGCCCCGCCCCCGCCGCGGCCCCGCCCCCGCCGCGGCCCCGCCCCCCGCCGCGGCGCCGCCTGCTGCGCCCCCGGGTCGGGGCGGCCCCCGCCGCCAGCGCCTGGAGGCGTCCTCCGCCCTGCGGCCGCCGAGACGGCCCGCTCGCCCCGCCCCCCGCCGCGGCCCCGCCCCCGCCGCGGCCCCGCCCCCCGCGGCCCCGCCCCGCGGCCCGCCCCCCGCGGCCCGCCCGCCGCGGCCCCGCCCACCCGCCGCGGCCCCCGCCCACCCGCCGCGGCCCCGCCCACCCGCCGCGGCGCCCGCCTGCTGCGCCCCGGGTCGGGGTCCGGGTCCCCCGCTGCGCCAGCGCCTGGAGGCGGCCTCGCGCTCGGCGGCCCTGCCCCGGGCGAGACGCGGGTTCCGGGGATTCAGGACGGCGGTGTGGGCCTGGGACGCGATTTGGGGGGCACCGTGAGCGTTTCTGGAAGGCGGCGGCGTAACTGCAGGGGAGCCCCCAGGACGCGCACCCGCAGCCTGCGCCGCCTCCCGCTGACCAGCCCACAGCACAGGGGGCCGCGAAGTGGACCCCCACTTCTCAGCAGCTGGGCGGGGATGCTGTCCCTCTGCGAGGCTGCGACCCTGACCCTGAGGCGGGGTGGCCTGGGGCGCGCGGGGAGGGGCAGGCGGAGCCGCCCGCCTTCGCTGAGGCCTCGTTAGCTTGCACAGAACAGGCCCTGGACCACGGGCCTGAGTGCCGACCCCCGCCTGGGCGGTGACCCGCGGGGCGCAGCAGGCCTGCCCTGCCCGCTGCTCCCCGCAGCAGCGGATCCCGGTAGATCCGCGGGTGCTGCCCCCACTCCGCCTCCGGTGGACCCTCTCACCCCCACACCTCTGACCTGCACCCCGAGCTCTCTCTCCCCCGCTCTCAGCAGCACCTAAATAACGTGAATGAAATGAGGAAAGATGTCGGCGGGCTCTGCGGAGGTGACCTAAGTGTCAGTGGCCAGAGGACATGTCTATGGAAATGACGTTGGAGCTGAGCAGACGGGGCACCACACCTGGGCGGCCACGGCCGGGGTGGGGCACACCTGTCACTCCCCCAGGCTCATGCCCCCGGCCGCTCTGCACACTCGCGCCCCCGGTCGGCCAGAGGACGGTGCGGTGGGGACGAGGTGGTCTCGGCAGACCCGCGGGGCGGCACTGACCTGGCAGGAGGCTGTGTCCTCTCAGCAGCCACTTGGTCTCCGTGCTGTGCTCGGGCAAAGGATCAAAATGATCTTGTATTTTACAGCGAGCAAGCAAAGCAGCGCCAAGAGGATGTTAAGCTGTTTATTTAAAACATTCAGATTTGCCTGGAAGCCGCTAGCGCCCTCGGCTGGGAGGCGTGTTGAAGGGCATGTGGCCCGTGGGGGCGGGAGGGACCCGCCGCGGCTGTCCCGTCCCCTCCCGCCTGTGTCTTCACCTGCAAACTGCGCGCAGGTCCAGGCCGGGCGCTAAGTGGCTTCTGAGAGTTCTCGGCTCCGAGAGCTGATGGTCTTCGGCCACCGGCAGCCTAAGCCGTGAGTTTCCCCTGAAGGCCCAGGGAGCCGGGCTTGTTCTGTTTTCAGCCTCACTGAGGTGGGATGAGCGAATGAAAATGCTCACATTCAACGGCTCCACATGGACGGGTTTGGACATGCCAGTTCACTGGATAGCAGCACCGCGGCCAAGGTGCCACACGCCCGCGCCCCCAGCCTCTCCTGTGCGCTCTCGGTGGGGGGCGGGGTGTGTGTGCACCCCCGGCCCAGCAGTTCATGGTGATTTGGACAAACGGACAAGGACTCTGGGAGGCCAGGCAGACCTGCCGGCCCTCAGAGCAGAAGCGCGGCGGGGCACAGGCGGGGCACAGGCAGGTGCGGGGCAGGCAGGAGGGGAGTCTGCTCAAGGAGCTCCGGATCCCCATAGCCCCTGCCATCTCCCGCTTCCCTGCCTTCTCTCCCGGGTGTCACAAGAGCCCCGCGCTCACGCTCCCGAGTTTGTTTTGTGCAAACAAAATGTCACTGCGCTACCAAAATGTGCTGGTGAAACCTGGGCGGAAAATAAAGCCGCAGGCGGCAGCCATGGGGCGTGGCGGGAGGCGAAAGAGCCGGAGTTACTGCGTGTTCCTTGCAGTGGGGTGTGTGTGTGTGTGTGTGTGTGTGTGTGTGTGTGGTGAGGACGCCCGCAGGACGCCCACCCTCCGGCCCTGTCTTTAGTGCTGGCGCCGGATGGCCAGTGCCGCGCAGCTGATCCCTAGAACCTACGTAGCCAAAGTTAAATTGGCCTCAGACCCTGGAGCATAAAGAATCCCGATCTAAACTTTTCTCAGAGACTCACAGACACAGCAGAGCCCCGAGGCTTCTCGGCTCACCTGGCGCAGCGCCCAAGGCCCCTGGAGCCCCGGCGGTGGCCCCGCACAGAGCGGAGCCCAGTCTGAGAGAGGCCTCGGCCCTCTTCACCCGGGCTCAGCTGCCCGTAGCTGGCCGTGACCTTCAGCCACGTCCATGTTCCTTCGCCCCTCACCTGCTCTTCAGCCCATGCAACTCCTTTGCTCTCAACTCTGGTCCCCCAAACCTATATCACCTCATTCCCTTCCCTAATGGGGCAAAAGCAGAGTCACACCCGAGCTGGGCCCCAGGGTACTGCCGTCCACCCTCATGAGTCTGGGAGAGTCTGGTCTGGTGCCTGGACCCTCTACTGTGCCCCCACTCCTGCCACTGCCCCCCAGTCAGGAACCAGGGGCCCAGATGACCCCACCTGGAGCCCATCCTGTGACCCCACGCCCCTCCCCCACCGCCCGACCACCGTCCCGGGCTTGGTGGCGTCAGACCCACAGGCCCCAACCTGACCCTCGTAGCCTTGGATGGGGACACTCACCAAGGACAGCCGGGACATTGCTGGGCTCCCCAGCCTCCCACTCCCCAGCCTCTGCCACCCCCCAGTCCCAGCAGACCCCGAGGTGTCCACCCCGGCCCACAGACGACAGAGTCGGGGCTGCGGAAGCTCTTTATGCAGAACAGGGAGGAGGTAGCTGGGGGAGGGGTGCCGGGGAGGCGGGCGAGAGGCCAGCGGAGGACAGGGCTCCTCCGGTCCTGTCCTGCTCCTCAGGTCCTGGGCTGCTGCCCTAGAAAGGAGGGGGAGGGGGTGAGGCCAGAGCTGGGGAAGTGCAGGGCTCTTGGGGCTGCAGTGGGGGGCAGACCCCAGCCTCCACGGGGGCGTGGGGGGCAGACACTGATGTGGTCCCCGAGTCAGCAGGAGGGGAGAAGGCAGGCGTCCCAGTGCCACGCGGGGACAGGCTCCGGGAGCAGGGTCAGCCCAGGGGACAGCCCCGGGAGGCTCCGCTGACGCCCACTGAGCCAGGCTGCCGTCCGCCTCCGTCACCTACCTCACTCGCTCGCGGGGCTGCAGTTTTCTGTAGGCGCCAAAGAAACCCAGAATGAGGGGAGGCCCGAGGAGGCCAACCCCGCAGTGCCCGCAGCTCAGGGGCCCCCGGAGCACCCAGAGGGGCCTGGGCCCGCCCCTGCGTCACACCAGCCCTGATCCTCCCCCCAGGATGGGTGTGGCAGGGCGTCATGGGGACACGGGGACCTGGGGGGTCCACCATGGGGGACACCAGGCCCGCACAGCCGCCTCTCACCCATCTGGGCAGGCATGAAGATGCCCTCCGCGGCCAGCCCCCGGCGCTGCACGGACTCCCTGAACGCTGCTAGGGCGTCCAGGTTCTCGTCGGAGTTTCGACCTGCGGGCCAGATGACTGGTGAACCCACCTTGGGGCAGACCCCGGAGGGGACAGCATCTCCCAGCCCGGGGGCTGGCCAGGAGGGTCAGGGTCTAGTGGGAATGAGGACTTGGGGGGTTTGGAGACGGGACTCCCCCAGCTGGCAAGCCCAGGAAAAGGGGACAGTCTGGGGAACACCCTGCAACACTGAGGTCCCCTGGGGGGCCCGGGCCGCAGAGGCCCCAGCGGTCACCCCTGAGCTGGCAGGACCTCGTAGCCCCCAGGAACTGTTGCCCCTATGGCCAGAGGACTCTGGCACTGACCCCCAGGGCCAAACCACCCTCCCCCACACTGGAGGTCCCCCTGGGAGCATTGGGGTCACTGAGGGATCAGGGGCTACCCTACCCCAGGCAGCAACTGTGTCCACACACGGAGACCCCCACAGGGGGTCCCAACCCCAGAACCAGTGAGGCTGCAGCCGCCTAGCAGCGCGGAGTCAGCAGACCAGGGCTGGGGGCCGGGTGGCCAGGGCGGCACCCCTTACCCAGGAGCTTCCCCATGCGGAACGGCCCCCGGCGGCTCCGGCCCTCCGCGTAGAGCAGGAAGTGGTCCTGGACGGGCAGCCTCTGCAGGGACACGCTCACCTTGCCCTCGTCTGCAGGCACAGGGAACGGGGGGCATTTGGGCCTTGAACCCCGGAGAAAATGCTCAGAGCAGCCTGGAACCTCTCAGCAGGCGCCCGGCCGGCCTGTGTCCACGACTCTTCCCCTCACCCAGGACCTCCTGGGGGTTCCTGGCCGAGCTGCAGGGTCACCAAGGTCGGGGGACATCTGCCAGAGGCGGGTGCCGCCCTCGGGGCCCCCGGCACCCCTTGCGCCTGGCTGCCCTCAGGGGAGCCCCTGGAGCCCCAAGGGAGCCCACCGCAGGCACACCCGAGCCAGCTGGAGTCTGATGTCAGGACGAGACCTGGGGTGGGGGCAGGTGCTCCTGGGCAGGGGAGGCGGGGGGTGGGGGGGTCTTGGCACCCCGACTCACGGGCGCTGTATCTGCCGGGCTCCTGGGTTTGCCGCAGCATCACCCGCTGCCGGTGGCACTGGTCCTCCTTCCTGAAGTGGGGGACACACTGAGCCCCTGAGCCCACCTGGCCCAGCACCGCAAGCTCCACCATCACCCCCAGCCTAGGACCCTTCCCCTCAAGGCCGGGGACTTGCCTTTTCCCCACACCCCAAACTAGAACGGCTCCCCACCCACTCCATGCCCGGGGGGTGGGTCACCCACATGAAGGTGAATGAGGCCTCGAGGTCCCCGCCGTCCAGGGCCGTCACTGTCACGGGGGACACGGTCCACGGCTTCTGCTCCCAGGGCGGGGCCTCGTCCACCACAACGGCCTTCACGTGCCACGTCCCGATCGCCTGAGCAGGGGGCGCGTGAGCCCACCCGGGCGGCGCAGACCCTCCCACGCCAGCCACCAGCGCCAGCCCCCCGGCACGGGCCCCCGCACCCCCACCCCGTGCGCCATTAGAACGAGCCCTGCTGCTCTCGGGGCGCCTGGCCCAATGCAGGGGGAGCTGCAGCCCCACGACCCCATCACAGCAGGCCCGGCCCAGCCCCCTGAGACCCCCAGAGGGCCCTGCAGTGGGCCTGGGTGAGCCGAGGGGTCTGAGGACCAAAGGGAACCCCGCTGGCTCAGCCCCCTCCCTGGGGAGCGCAGCGTCCCTCGGCGCTAGGACACCTCCTCGGGCAGCCTGGGCCCTGCCCGCCCCTCCCGGCCTCACATCCTGCGGCTCGAATGCCAAGGGCAGCGGGTCCTGGGCCTGCAGGACGGCGGCCAGGCCGAGGGTGACGGCCAGGAGGAGAGCCTGCATCCCGGGGCTGCGCTCACTGCAGACGGGGCGCGGGGCTGGAGGGGGACGTGCCTGGACTCCAGGTGGTGGTCCTTTATCCCCTCCTGGCCCCACCCTCACCCCCGCGCCCCGCCCGGCAGGGGGCCAGCTCCGCCTCCGCAAGGAGGGGTGTCGGGGCTGCTGGGACAAGAGGCGCGGCCTTTATGTGCTGCCGGAGACGGTGGGTGGACGCGGCTCCCCACGCCTGCACCTCCGGGCCCCGGGCCAGCGTCTGCAGGGGTGCTGTTGGGGGTGGTGGGGACGTGCATGCTCCGTGCACCAGACGCCAGAGCTGGGTGCCAGGCACCCACCTCAGCACGTGCCCCTCCCGGGGGGGCTGCCCCGTCTGCTGGGGCCCTCGCGACTGTGTGTGGCCTCCTCCGGGCCTCCCTGCGTCACCCCCTCCCCGGCCGCCTATTCCCATCAGCACTTTTGCTCTGTCCACCGTCCGCTGCCCTGGGGCTCGGGTCCCCCCCGGGGGGGGGACTGGTTCCTGGGCCTCCGTGCACCAGGCGGTCGGGAGGGGCTCCCGAACCTCCTCCCCAGGCCCCCTGCGGCGCCGGCCCCCGGGTGGTCTCTGGCGGGAGCCTGGACGGGCTGCCCCCTCTTCCCCTGATGACGCTGTGGGCAGGAACCAGCTGGGGCGGCCCCCAAGGTGCTGGCAGGGCCCTGCCCGGAAGGTGCCCGCCTGGGGGTGGGGGAGAAGGCGGGGCCCGTGCTCTTTAGGGCCGGAGATGAGGCACCTCCCTGGGGCGCATGGCAGTGGGGTCCTTTTCCTGTCCCTGCCTTCCTTGGCGGCCCGCCGACCCTGTGCTCTGCTCACCCTGCGTCACTGGCCCCAGGGGAGCGCACGGTGGGAGGGTCCCGGGAGCGCAGGCTGCCCTGCTGCCCCCCCAACCCAATTCTCAGCACCCTGGGCCCTCGAGGGAGCCCCCCATGCAGCTGCTCCCCCAGCTGCCTCTGCAGCGCCCCCAGGTGGCGCCGGGTGTGTCTCCTGGAGGCAGACCCTGCTGGGGAGGGGGAGGGGGAGCGGCCCTGTCCTTTGCCCAGGGCTGGGGCATTCCTCCTCTGGCCCCGTCCACCCCCTGCCCGCCTCCCCCCAGACCCCTGCCCTGGGCCTGCCCCTGGCTCCAGGTCTCCACCTGTGTGGAGGGCGCTGGTCACCTCGCCCTTGAACCTAGCAGTGGTCACAGCAACCAGGCGTGGCCACGCCTGATGGGGAGAGTCGGGGCTTCCTGGGCATCTGGGTGGAGGCTTTGCTTCCACCAAGCACCACATCAGAGGTCTCATGGCTGGGATGGGGGAGCCGCGAGGGGCAGGCGGGAGGGAGGGAGCACGGGTCAGCCGCAGGACCACCCGTCCAGGGGCGAGAGCTGCTGCGCCCGCCACCGACTCTAAGCGCTCAGCCCTGTGGCCAGCTGCTGCCCGAGCCTCAGCTCCAGAACTTTCCAGCACAGATCCATCTGGAGCCTGGGGCGTCTGGGCAGTGCAAGGCGGGGGTCTGTGGCCTTGGTGCTAAAGTTGAGCTCCTCCGCCTGCCTGAGGCGAGTGGACAGTCCTGCAACGACAGGCCCCAGCCCTGCACCCGCGTCCTCTCCTCCTGGGCCTCCCTGGCACGTGGTGAAGCCAGAGTGCAGCTCAGAGGGGAGAGGGCGTCCTGTCGCCAGGCCCGACCTGCACGGTCCTGCCCGTCCACCTCTCCCTGACCCCAGACCAGCCCTGGCCCTGGGCCCAGCAAACCTGTCCACCCACAAGCCAGAATCCAGGCGAGCCGCCCCCTCCGAGGTGTGCTTCTTCCTTTGCTGCTGCAGCGGGGGCCACCCCGTGTCGGCTCCCTTTACACCCTGCAGCCAGTGGTTCATTGTCTGGCTGTCCCTGCTGGGTCACTGCGGTCTGTGTCCTGAGTGATCGCTGACTCACGCAGGGCATGTTATTTTAAAGGTGTCGGGTGCTAAGGGGGCGCGCCGAAGCGGCGGGCGAGCAGGGGGTGGGGACAGGCTTGTTTGTATTTCGAGACAGCCCCATGGCAGTGACATCGGAACCCAGAATTAGGGCCGGGGAGGGAACGGCCGGTGGCTCCAGGGGGGCGCTCCCAGTGCCAGGGCAGGGGGCCGGGGCGGACAGACCTGGGCGGCCAGGGAGGGTGACCCCCCTCGGACCAACCTCCTGCTACCAGCTTCATGTCCATAGTCCGAGCTGGTCACAGGGGCCATGGAAGGCCCCAGCAGCCTCCTGCCAGTTCACTGGGCAGCCAAGCGCTGAGCCCTCACCCAGGGCCAGAGGCCTGAGGGGCCCCAGGGTGGAGCTGAGCCGGCCCAGGGATCGCTGCCCCCAGGAGCTCCCTTTCTGGAAGGAGATGGACAAAAGCAGAAAAGGAGAGCCGGGGAGGCCAGCAGCGGAGGCTAGAGGGAAAGCAAAGCCCGTGCTGCCGGGTCAGGGTTGGGGTCTCGCTGAGAGGGAGGCCCCGTGGGCCCCCCTGGGGGAATATGCAGCAACCAGAGGGGCCAGAAAGGCCAGAGGGCCAGGCCTGCACAGCCAAGAGCAGGGCGCCTGGGAGAAGGCAGCCCAGGGCAGACCAGGAGACCGAGGGAGGCAGCAGCGTGCCTGGCTCTGTGCCCGTTCTGTGCCCAGCACGCCCGGGGGTGAGGCCCCACAGCTCGGGCATGGGGCTCTGGAGCCTCAGGGGGGGGCCAGGCTCTGGAAGGCGGGTGGCAGGCCGGGCCCCACCAGGGGGTGCTGGAGTGCAGCCTGATCTAGAACCAGGGCCTGCTGAGAGTGGCATAGGATTAGGACCACCTGGGCCCCTTCCTGGTCTGAGGTCAGGGGCTGGGGGTCACGGGGGTGGGGACACGCCGACCTTGTCCTCAGCCATCCTGGAGATGAACCCCAAAGAGACCCAAGAGGCAGCGGGAGGAGAAGGGGAGTGTGAGGTGGGGAGGGGCCCGTCCCGTAGGCGGCCTCCCCACACCCCTGCCTCGGACACTCCGCCCCAGCCGAGACCACAGCAAACATCTGGAGCCGAGGGCAGGATGGATCTGGCGGGAGAGCCAGGCTCATTACCTGTGACTTTCCACGCCCCCTGGGTGGTGACTAGGAGTTTGGTGTTTCTGGAGGCTGAGGGAGACTTGGGGATGCCCAGGGTCCTAGGCTGCTCCTGGTGGGAGCCTTGGGGTGAACTTTGGTGGTGCCCACAGAGGGAAGGTTGGAGACAGGATAGCCCAGTCCTGCCCTACCAGCCTGAGGCCTCATCTCCCTCTCTCCCGGCATTGAGGGTGGCTAGGAGGGACCCCCAACCCCCCTGGGTCCAAGCCTGTGTTCTAGGCAGATCCTGCCCCCGGTGGGCTCTGGAGGACATGCAGCTTGCTTGGGAAGGGCGAGAGCGGTGCTGGGCTAGGGGGCTCTTTGTGACGGACCAGACTGTCTCACAGAAGAATCCAGGGCCTCCTGGTGGCGCAGGGGTTAAGTCTCAGCACAGTGAAGCTGTCCACGGCCAGGCCAGCCGCTGCAGCACGAGTTCCATCCCAGCCAGGAGCTACCCCCAGGGCACAGCAGACCTCTCCTGTCTCCCCGCTGCTCCCCTCAGCAGTGTATATCAGTCAGTCTGCCTGCTCTGCTCCCCACTCTGTCTCTGGGGAATCCTCTCACTCCCACATCTCTGGCCTGTACCCCAGTTCTCCTACATGGAAAAAAACCCCAAGTTTTTTTAAATAATAAAAATAAAAATAAAAGAGACAGCACCAGAGGCTTCCTCACCACTTCCCTGCAGGCCTCAGCCCCAAGAGGGCGCCTCTGCCCCTTTTCACCATGTTTTATTCCTGAGCTCTGGTTTTAATATTATTTCCCTGTAAAACAACAAAATTGTATCGTCACGTTTAGTTTTTTCCCTTTGCATTTCCCCCTGAGATATGTTGAAATATGTCAACCCCTAATCCTTTCTCCGCCGCGGGACACCAACAAACCCGTCTGCTGCTCCATGTGGGTCGCTCCCTGGCCAGGGATGGAACTGGCGCTGCAGAGGCTGTGGACAGCTTCACAGGTTGCGTCTTAACCCCTTGCGCCACCAGGGAGGCCCATAGCACCGTTTTTAGTTCATCTCCAAACAGATTTGCAGAGTACTGAGTCCCGGCCTTACAGTCAATCCGGAAAAAACGCATCAGTTCATCAGTTCGTAACACATGAGCGTTTGTCTCCTCATCAGGTGGCGTCAACCCCATAGAGGTGCGCCCGCCCCCACCCCTCGCCCCCAGGGCAGCAACACCGAGGTGCCTGTCCCCAGGTCTGCGTTCCTCCCATATGTCCCAATGCAGGTGGAGAGAAGGGGTGGCCGTGGAGGGATGGAGATGGTGGAGAGGCAGGGAAGGGGCGCGGGGAGGGGTGTCCAGCTCAGCTGCAGCCCGTCCCTCTGCAGTAACCAGCAGACCCCACGACAAGGCACCCGGGACGTGGAACAAAGTCCCGGCCCCGCTGAGTCCAGCCAGAGGGGGAGCCACAGGGACGCAGACCCTGTTCACAGCTGGACCACGAGGTCCGTTCTCTGGAGACAGGCCCCCACCCTCTGTTCTCCACCCCACAGCGCACAGCAAGGCCCCATGAGGGCTCTGCAAACTCTTTCAACGCCCCGGCAGAGGTGGGGGTCCCAGAGCAGGCGGCAGGGACCAGGGACCCTTGGGGCCAGCCCTTGGGGAGCCATTGGGTCCCCACAGGTGCGATATGTGGTGTCACATGCATGCACCCAATAGCCAGAGCCCCTGCTGCCTGCATCAGGCCACCAGCTTTTATGGTGGGGGGGGGCAGACCCAGGTGCCCCCAGCCCAGCCCCCACACCCCTTACCCCAGGAGGAACCCCAGCAGATTCCACAATGAGGGGGTGTTATTGCCAGAAGATAGACAAAGGAGGGTCCCTAACAGACCTAGGCCCAGGAGCACTTGATACTGAGACACAAATACCATGGAGAGAACTTTCCAGTAAGATTTCAAACACATTTTCAATTGGTGGTGCTCGGATGAGTATCAGAGAGAGAAAAATTCAATTGGACCCTCCTATAAAAACCACATTCAAGGGCCTCCCTGGTGGCACAGCGGGTTGAGCGCAGCGCTGTGAAGCTGTCCGCAGCCTCTGCAGCTCTGGTTTGATCCCCGGCAGGGAGCTGACCCACATGGCGCAGCAGACCTCTCCTGCATTCCCCGCTGCTCCCCTCAGCAGTGTGTTTTGGTTAATCTGCCTGTTCTGCTCCCCACTGTCTCTGGGGAGTCCTCTCATCCCCCGTATCTCTAGCCTGCACCCCAGCTCTTGTGTGCATAAATAAATAAATCTTTAAAACAAACAAACAAACAAAAAAAAAAAAAACACATTCAAGTCAATTCCTAGAGATGAAAGCCTAAGTGCGGGGCAAAAACCTACAGCTTCAGGAAGGTAATACAGGAGACTGTTTCTGTGATTTCTCACATGCAATTACATTAAGAAGGTTGAGAAGACATTCTCCCAAGTGGAAGAGACACTTTAGCCTGCATCTGACTAAAGTGCCAGCGTCCAAGTCCTGGAGGCCCCGCCAGAGTCCCCCGCGGCCCTAGAGTGTGGAGGGTTTGGGGGTGTCCGAGCACAAGGTAGACACCGTTGCAGAGAAAGGCGAAGCGAGAGGAGCCTCCGCCCTCGCTCACACTCTGAGGGGAGGTGGATGGGCAGACGCAGCCCACGGAGCCCAGATACCTCCGTGGACATTCAAAGGGAACTCGGTACAACGGCAGGAAGAAGAGGACGTCAAAGGACTTTCAGGGGACGGTCTAGCATGGAAGACAGGACGGGGGAGCGGAGCTAGGCCCATCCACCCTGGCTCCAGAAGGGCACGGGGGCTGTGCTCACCCGCTTCTCCCAGTCTTTGCTCAGCCCCTTGTCAAAATGGAGGAGCCACCCCTGTGGGCTGTGGCCTTTCATGGGGCAGGGGTCTCTCGGAGGCTGGACTCATTAGCTCCGAATCTCTTTGTGGTTCTTGGGCACGGCCAGGTAGCGCAATTTCCTGAGGAAAGGCCGCGTCCCCAGCAGCTGCTGGTCCCACAGGTACTCGGGGGATAGCACCTTGGCGGGCTTGTGGTAGAGCAGGTACCTGTTCAGGTGGCTCTCATCGTGCCACACAGCCTCAATGCCATTGGCTTTGTCCGCCATCGTGGCCTGGTGGCAGGCCGTGGTGAGCCGCTGCACCTCAGCCACTGACCCCCCAAAAAATCCCCCAGCATAGTAAAAGTCACCCTCATCTTTTGGGATGTAGGCCCGCGACTGCGGCCGGCGCTCGTAGGTGAAGGACCCGCGGGCCGCTCCGTAGAACCCGGGGTGCAGGGTGCCGAAGAGAGGGGCCAGGATCTCCGTGCCAACGCGCGCGCCGAAGCGCATGTCCACGTCCATGCACACCAGGTAGTCCACCTCATGCCCGAAGCGCTGCTCGCACGCGTGGCTGATCATCTCCATGCGCCGCATGGACACGTCCTGCCAGCGCTTTGAGGCGGGGACCTCCAGCACCTCCAGGCGCCGGCCCGGCGCGAGTGGCACGCGCGGCACGTCGGCCGGCCGGTCGGTGAACACATAGTAGGTGACTCGGTGCCCCGCCATGAAGTGCTGCTCTGCTGTCTCCAGGAACAGCTTCAGGAAGACCACGTACCTGCGGCGACAGGGCCCGGGGAGCCATCAACAGCAGTGAGCAGCACGAGGGATAAGCTCAGGCCGGGCCTGTAAGGCTGTGCCTGGGGGCTTCCTGCTAAGTGATAAAGCCTGAATTCCACTCCCGGGAGGTGCCACAGTAGGCCCAGAGATGGAGATAGAAGGTGGGGCGGCGGGGCTGAGGGAGGGCACTGAGTCTCAGTTTTGCAAGAGGAAGAGCCTGGAGATGGAGGAGGGGGGCTGCACACGACACCCCGCTTAACGCTGCTGAGCTGTGCACAGTCAGAAATAGTCCAGATGGTCACTTTTGTTAGGTGTGTTTTACCATAATCAGAAAATAAAAACCAGGGCCTCCCTGGTGGCGCAAGGAGTGAAGCCTCAGCACTGTAAAGCTGTCCACAGCTTCTGCAGCACCAGTTCGCTCCCCAGCCAGGGAGCTACTCACAGGGCGCAGCAGACCTCTCCTGACTCCCCGCTGCTCCCCTCAGCAGTGGATTTCAGCAGATCTGCCTGTTCTGCTCCCCACTCTGTCTCTGGTGAGTCCTCTCATCTTCCATATCTCTGGTTTACACCCCAGTTCTTGTGTGCATAAATAAATAAATCTTTGTGGGGAAAAAAAAAGAAAAGAAATAAAAAATCATAGCCATTGGCTAAAGCTGAGGGCCCGAGACCAGACAGTGAAAGGAGGGAGAGAGACCTCATGATGTGTATCTTCCTGCCTCAACCCTAAGATGATCTCTTTCATCCATTCGGTTGGCAAAAATTCAACTAATGGATAATGTGGATGATAGCAAGGGAAGGATGTCTCCCAGATCAGAGCCTACCAATGGACTGTTGTCTTCAAAATAAAAGTGGGGCTGGGGACTCAAGATCCTGTAGTGGTCTCCCAGGCCCTGCAAGGTCTGCTGTGACCTCACCTCCTCTCGCTCGCTCCACCTCCTGTTCTGGGCAGGTCAGCCTCTGAATGTTCCCCACACGGGCTGCCCATGCTCCTCTGGGCTTTCCACTTCCAGCTCCCTCTGCCTGGAACCAGCGCCCCCTCAAGCTCGCCCCTGTGGTGGCTTTGCCGCATCTAATGCACATCCAGAGCTGGACATGCCCTATGGCTCCTCCTGCTGGTGCTGACCCGAGTAGAGGCCCTACATCACACCACAAAACACGCCTCAGCAAATTTAAGAAATCATACCAGGTACCTTTTCTGAGCACAATGGTATGAAACTAGGAATCAATAAAGGGGAGGAGGGGAGACTGGAAATTTCACAAATACATTGTAATTAATAATACACAAAACCTAAACAATCAATGGATCAAAGAAGAAAGCCAAGGGACATTTTAAAATATCTTGAGGCACATGGAAACAGAAAGGCAACATACAAAGACCTATGGGACGCAACCAAAGCAGTTCTACGAGGGCAACACACACGAATCAAGACATCTCAAGGGACCAGCGAAGAACAAAAACTAAGCCTAAAGTCAGCAAGAGTGAAAAATACAGATTCGATCACAAATAAATGAAAGAGAACAGGAAAACAACAAAAGACTAATGAAAGAACTGGTTCTTTGAAAAGATAAACAACTGACAGATCTTTAGCTAGAATGACTGTGAAAAAAGAGCCAACCTAGATAAAATTGTAAATGAAAGGGGAGATACTGCCACTGACACCACTGCTCCAAATCCCCTCCCGTGGGCCATGCCTGGTCCTGAAGTGGAGCGTGCCCACTGCGGCCACTTCCTGGGTCTCCGAGCGCCCACACCCGGCTCGGCCCAGGTGCCTGGCCAGTACTTACTTTTTGATGGCGAATATGGTCAGTCCAATGGTGGCGTTTCTGAACTGCATGTCCATGATGGCAGGGTCAAAGGTCCCTTCCCAGACAATGGGGGCAAGCCAGGGGGTCATGACCAGCACATCCACCCTCCTGGGGGAGAGAAAATGCCACGCTTCAAAAAACTTCAGAGCAGGGCCTCCCTGGTGGTGCAGGGGTTAAAGTCTCAGCGCTGTTAAGCTGTCGCCAGCCACTGCAGCACAAGTTCGATCCCCGGCCAGGGAGCTGCCCCACATGGCGCAGCAGACCTCTCCCGTCTCCCCGCTGCTCCCCTTAGCTCCCCTTCGGTCAATCTGCTCCCCACTCTGTCTCTGGTGAGTTCTCTCACACATACATGCCATGCCTCCAGCCTGTACCCCAGTTCTTGTATGCATAAATAAATAAAAATAAATCTTAAAAACTAAAAAAACCTTCAGAGCAGAGATATGTGTGGGGGGCAGGGGGCAGGGGTCCAGACTGGCCCAGTCCATGGCTGGCAGGCACCGGACCCCATACTCCCATTCCAGGGTCTGGGGCTTGGGGAGTTCTGGGCTGAACGCACAGAGGCTCACCCAGAGAGGGAGGGTAGCTACCTGCTCCTCCCCCAGCCCCTCCCTCTAATTCCACTACCCCTGGGTCACAGCCTTTATACCAAACCAAAACTGGCAAACAAAGCACGCTGGAGTTCCATGCGCTGTCCTAGCAAAGGATGGAGGCCGAGGGGGATCTGGTGGAAACCCCAACTTATTGCTGGCTGCTCAGCAGCCCGAGGACAGCCTGGACTTGCAGCTGTTTCCTGAGGTGCCTGGGGGTGGGACTGAGCCCCTCCCCTGCGGAAGTGTCAGAACTGAGGGTGGAAGCTAGTCATCTGGTGGCGCTGCTAAGAGCAAGAGAATTTTCTTTAGAGACAAGGCTGTATCTCAACGCCCCTCCCATCCCAGGGCTCTCACCTCTGCTACCCCCAGAGTCTCCTCTGTCCCCTTCTCTTCCCTGCTGCCTCCTTCCCTCCTTCTCCCTCCCTGATCACAAGGGAGCTCCATGCCCAGTTCCTGGTGACCTTCTGCCCCTAGGAAACTCATGCCAGCTCAGCCTCCAGCTCAGTGCTGCCCAGCAGAAACATCAGACCAGCCACGAGTGGGCTGCCGACTCTCTAACAGCGCCTGAAGGTGAAGAACCAGGTGGGACTGTGGTTCATCGGGTGTGATCATAGGCCAGACGGATCACATTTGTTTAACCAGCGTCTGTGTGATAGGATCACCAGGGAAAGTGAGACATGTCACCATTTTTGACATAGCTACAGCATGGGTGCGGCATGGATGCTGGCCAGTAGCTCATGCTGACAGCACATCGCGCGCCAGAGCCGCCACGTTCAGTATTCATGGCCACAAGTGGCTGGTGGCTCCACGCTGGCCCGAGCGGCACCAGAGGCAGGTGCAGTTTCAGACACTGACACTCCTGCAGGGAGGTGGCGTGACAGGACAGAAGGCACTGGGCCCCTGGGCAAGGCCCCCCAACTGCCCCTCACCAGCCGATGCCCTTGGGCTGCTCCCCTTCCCTCAGTGACCTGTCTTCCTGCCGTTAGACGCGGGCAGCCGAGGCGCTCAGCCTTAGGGCGGCCTGCGCACACAGAAGCCCTGGGCCTGATGCCAGAGTAACGGCGGGTGCTTGAGCTCTCTCTCGGCCAGCGGGAGGGGGCGGCGTGGGCCCCAGCCAAGGGGCCTGGAGCAGGGCGAAGGCTCCCAAGTGTAGAGAGGAGGGTAACCATGGTCTCTCAGACGTTTGCATCCATGGACGCCAGCCCAAGGTCCTTGTCTTTCCCCTCCTGCTCAGAGCTCTGGGCGGGCTTGCCGGGCAGAACAGCAGCACCGAGGCACCCCCACCCACTTTCCATGAGGGGAAACGGACGTTTCCTGGGTGGGCCATGGTGTGTCAGGAGGCAGCCGGGTGGCAGCCGCTGTGCTCCAGGCGGCCTCTCCGCGCCTGGACGGCCAGCAGCCCTGGAAGACGGATGGCGAGGCGCCGCGGGCCGCATCCAGCGCACGCCCCATGGCAGCCGCTCCCCTGCACGCCCTCCACGCTCTTGGTTCCTCAAGCCCGTAAATGCGGCCTGAGCCCCACCCTCGGGACACTGACGCGGGAGCCTGGCTGCCAGCCTCCACCAGGGGCCCTTGCCATCCCAGAAGCTGGTGGCAGGGTCTTGGCTTCTGTGCCATGGCAGTGACATCGTGAGCAAACGGGGGGAGGGGGGGACGCCTAGCAACCCAGAGTCGGCCAGCTCTGCTCTAATTCACCCCCTCCCTTGACAAACCCACGAAACACTCAGGAGGATCCTGCAGTGGTGCGAGACAAGGAGGGAGGCAGGCAAGGAGGGGCCGGCGACAGGAGCGGGTGGGTGGCGGGAACCCGCCTACTTACGGGGGCTTGAAGAGCTGGGCCTGGGAGTAAAGCATCCTACGGGGAGAAAGGACAGGGGAGCCAGCGCCCACCTCTGAGACCCTCTGAGCACGGGACCCCCTCCCTGGCCTCACGCTTTCTTCCAGGCGTGTCCCCACTGCACAAACAGCCCTTGGTGTGCCTCCGCCTGGGGTGCATTCCCGGGCCCCAGGGGCCGCCTGGCCTGTTCTGATTCAGTCCTGAGGTCTGGCTGTAATGACTGGGGCGTCCTGCTCTGCTTTTAATCTGGGGGTCAGAGCACAGGGCCCCCCCCAACCCATAACTTTGTCTGCTCCACCTCAGCCCCACCCCACTCCGGCTGAGTGGTGCCCTTTGTCCTCGAGGCCCCCCCCCCACCAGTGTCGAAACTGAGACCTCAGACTGAATCCCCCACAGGTCAGGCACCCGAGCTGGGCTGGGGGTCTGTCGGTGCCTCCTCCCTCCCTGTCCCCCTCGCCCCCCTCCAGGACGTGGTCTCCCATACCTGGGCATCTCGGGTACTCTGCTGGTGTCCAAGGGACAGTCGCCTTCACTGAGGGAGGAAGACAGGAGTTCAGAGCCCAAGGGTCCTGCCCGTTGCCCAGGAAACCTCCCCATGTGGCCACAGAGGTCGGTCTGTGGCCAAGGGAGGGGCCAGGCGGAGGGGGGCAGCCAAGAGGGCGCTCGGCCCGGGGGGTGACCCAGCAGCCTGGGAGCAGCAGGACAGGCGGGAGGGGTCTCGCACCTCCTTGCCAGCCCTGGCACTGTCTCCCTTGTCCTCCCACCTGCTGCCCGCCAGGCGCCCGCGCCCTCCTCCTACCTGGTCCCCTGCTGCGGCTCCTGCAGGGTGCTCCGAGGCGCAGCGCTGCAGTTGTCCTGGCTGCTGAGGGAAAGGGATGGAAAGGGAGCTGCTCACAAGAAAGCGTCTCTCACCAGCCAAGCGCTGGTGAGAAGAGGGGCCTCACCCCATGCTGGCTTGGCCCTCCTCGAGGTGGGCTGGGGACTTCAGGGAAGGGGAGGGGGAAGCCCCTGGATGGAGCTGAGGTGGGGCTCCCCCATCCTGAGGGCCCAGCCAGAGCTCTCCAGCGCTGGGCCTGGCTCAGGAGCCAGGGGGTGGGCAGTCTCCACCTGGATAGCGGCAGCCCTGGGCCTGCGGGGAGGCCTCCCTGCTGCTGAGAGAGAGCAGTCCCGTCCGCTCAGCCCCTCACCCTCCCCTGGCCAGCTAGCACCTGTGGGGGCAAGCACCACCTGAGGCTGGCAGTAGGCTGGGACTTGGCCCCAGTGAGCTCTGCCTGCTGGGACCCCTACCTCGGCAGGATGCTGAGCCCCTGAGGACACAGAGCCTCCACCTGTGGGTCCCCATGGGGTCAGGGACCACCCCACCACCAGCTGGCCTTGCCACAGAGGCTGAAGGGAGGGACTTCAGGCACCGGGTCCTCCCCAGCCCTCGCTGCCAGTGCTGCCAACTGGCTGGCTGGTCTGCTCTGCTCCTTCTCCAGCAGAAACCCGGAGGCTGCCTGGGTTCTTCCACCGCAGCACCCCCACCGCGAGGGCGTGGGGAGGGGAGACTGTGTCTCCATTCAGTCCAAGCTCGTGCTCTGACTCCCACTTAGATGGTCCTGAAAGGAAACACCTTAATTCTAAAGACTCCTCCATTACCTGTGAGACTCTTCTCTCCACCCCCATCTGGGAATCTTGCTGAAACCATGGCTGGGGGGACAAAAAAGAGGGTGATCATGAGACCCCCGTTGACTGGGAGAACGACAGGCTGAGCTTTGGAGACTGAAATTCTGCACCGTGTGTGACCCGCTGGTGTCAGGGGAGAGGCTGTCCTGAGCTGACTGCACACAGGCCTCGTGGACGCCACCCCCACCCCAGACCAAAGCCGTCAAGACACCGGGCAGGACGAGTCCCATCACCCCCAAAGGGAAGGTGGCGGGACCTGAGGGTGGGGCGACGCAGCCAGGGTTGGTATAAAAACCAGACACGTGGGCCTTGGGGTCTCGCCTCTTGGCTTCACGGCTCGCGGCCCGCGGCCAGCTCTCAGAGCGCCGCTGGGATTCCAGGGCAGCAGAAAGGGTAGGGCGCATTTGAGACTTTATCTCCCTCTTTTCTCCCTGAGCTGTCCATCTCCTCATTTCCCCTTCCCTTGTGAATAAACCTTTCATCAACCTTTCGCCTGCTCCTGCAGTGGAGCATTGACAAGTCCTTTTAAGCGCGGGGTGAGGACCCACAACCAGGCACCCCGTTTTATATCGGGGCTGCCCAGGAACACTTGGTCTCCGGCTCCTGAGAAAATAGAGGTGGGGCCCCAGCAGGGCCAGAGGGAGGCAGGAGAGGGAGTGGGTGTGGGTCTGCTACTCCTGCTACTCCTGTTCGGCCACCATTTTGTTAAATCCTAAGCAAGGTCAAAACGACCCCTTCAGTTAGGTGCAGAGCCCAACCCTGCAAGGCACCCTTCAAATCAAACAAGAGCACGAAGCTGGATCACGCTGGGAAGGCTATGATCCCGAGAATGCCCAGGGGGCTGAGGACGGATGTAGGACAAGGCACCCCAGAAGCTGATCGGTGGAACGCCTGGTTGATGAGATTGAAACAGTGGCTGGGGAACTAGGGTGTGATCTCCATGACACACCCGTCAAGACGCAGATGAGAAGTGCCTGGGGGCAGACTTGGGACCCCTGATCTTCTCCTCCTTCCCCTTCTCTAGTCTCCTTCCCCTTCCTTTTGCTCCTTCCCCTTATGCTGTGTATCAATAAAAGGCCAGGATCTTGCTCTTCGGGAGCATCCTGCATTATAGAGCCTGATCCATGACTCCCGTTTCTTTATGAGCGTGGTGTTGCCTGATGCAACAAGTGGGTGTGCAGGCAGATGCACCCCCCACTGCCCGCCACTACAAACATGGGACTGTATTAGCAGATCTGCATCTCCACTAGCAGCTGCCAAGCCACGGCCTTCCTCTGCGTGTGAGGATGAGGGGGACCCTGCACCACAATTGTCCCAGGAGCTGTTTTTAGGTGCACTCCAGAGCCCCTGATCCCTGTTACAGGGCAGGGTGAGCAGCACCTCATGACCCCCAGACTTGCACATTCTAAATAGGTTCTGCCATCCACAGCTTAAAGACAAAACATACTCCAGTACATTAAGACTTACAATGAAAAAACTTTAATACCATTGGTGTGCAATAATTAGTGAGCACAGAAAGAATCTAGCTTCCAAGTCATTTAGCACACTCCCCTAGCGACCTGCACACACGCTGAAGCCCGTTGTATGACAGCCTGGCACAGAGATTTCCAGAAGCCGATGGACATGCAGGCTCAGTGGGTAGTTAGGGCACAGCAGGGAGCCAGGCCAGGAGCCCCAGCATGGGCCAGGCCTCTGGAGCCCACGGCCATCCTTGCTCTGTGTGGGGAGTCTGGTGCTCCTGCCCTCCGTGGAAACCTGTATCCCAGAGACGTGGCCTGTCCCTGCAAGTTGGACACTTGGGGGCTTTGGGTTACAGAGAGTGTGCACCTGACATGACCCCAACACAGACTATACCTCCGGGTAACGTCTGGATCACTGGAGTCCCAGGAACCCAACAGGTGCGTACAGAGTGGACCTGTGAACCCAGCTGGGTTGATAGTGCCAGAGAGAAGGGAGGTCCCCATCTGGACCCACAGGGAGACCATGGGAGGCCACATCCCCAAGGCTACCCACCCCCACCAAGGCCTCCTGGTGATCCCTCGGCTCCCAGGCCATAGCAACCCCTTGTCGGGATGCCTCTTGTTCTTATTCTCCACCTGATGGCTCCCCCGCGAGTTTGCATCTGGGCCTCCTTGGTTCCCAAACTCACCTTGCCCAAACAAAATTCACTCCCCGGCCACAGTTCTCCTCCATCTGCTGTTCTTTTTGGCGATACCACGACGCAGCACACACAAGCGCCAGGGGTTCCAAACCACCCTCGCTCCCAGGCCATCACGGGGCAGCTGGGCTCAAAGGGGGACAGCCCAGAAAGGGAGGGGACTACTCCCAAAGCCTCAGCACCCAAGCAACTCCTTGGGGGACCACCATAGGTAACTCAAGTCTGGGGTATCGGGGTGTGACTATTTCCTTGTGCCATATTAGAAGGCAATTTTGTCCAGGAATCTCTCTGTGCTTTGTGTGAATTTTTTTTTAAACCTCAAGAGACTTTCTTTTTTCACTGTTTGGAGAGTGAGATTTCACTAGACTGGCTTCATTTTCCTCAATCAGAATCCCTCAGGTGAGCCAGGAGCCAGAAGCTAATGAGAGTGGTTGTTCACTCACATCTCATAAGACGGTTTTCTCCCACACCGCTCTAGCCACACAGGGGGGAATCCATAACTAATCCACAGTGAATGTCTTAGGACAGGGACCTGCACACTCTTTAAAAGGCCAGAGAGTAGGGCCTCCCTGGTGGCGCAGGGGTTAAATCTCAGTGCTGTCAAGTTATCAGCAGCCACTGCAGCCTGATTTGATCCCTGACCAGGGAGCTACCCACATGGCACGGCAGACCTCTCCTGACTCTCCCACTGCTCCCCTCAGCAGTGTACTTCGGTCAGTCTGCCTGTTCTGCTCCCCACTCTGTCTCTGGTGAATCCTCTCACCCCCACACCTCTGGCCTGTACCCCAGTTCTCCGTGCAAGAATAAATTTTTTAAAAAGTGAGATAAACCCATGTATTTAAAGAAATGAAACATAAACTGAGTAATGAAAAGCCTTTAAAAGGTGTGGTCTGACTTGCAGACGTGTATGTCAAGTCTGAGAGGAGCTCCTGTGTCCTTGTAACTGGTGTCTTCAAAGGGCCACGCGGTGGAAGTTGAAGGAACCAGTCAGTCACACTCACCCTCGAGGTGACCCTGATATCTGCAAAGGCCTATGAATCATCAGGAAGCAACGTGCAGCCTGGCAACCCCCACCTCAGTTTCCTTACCTGCAGAATGGGAGTGTGGAGTCGGACCCTCCTCCCCAGGATCATTGTTGTGGGTCAAAAAATAAAAACTGAACAGTCTCATAAGTAAAATCCCCAGCTGCCCCAGGCCCCAGGGCTGTTCCACCCTCCTCACCTGTAGAAAGCCAGAGAAGCAGCGAAGATCAGGAGCAGCCACAGCAAGAACTTGGTGTTCCTTCCGCAGAAGTCTGCAGAGAGAAACTCTGGGTTACCTGCACCCCAAGTCACCTGGCTGAGATCAAAGTTGGACCCTGGCAGGTGACAGCCTCACGCTGGCTCCAGAGGAAACCCTTTCTGTCCTCTGTCCTCTGCTCTCAGGGAAGGCAGGCTGCCACTCTTCTGGCACATGATCCCACCAGGAACCTGGAGGGCTCACCTGCGGCCCCGGGGTACCCACATCAACTGACAAGTCAGGTTCTCTTGTGGGTACCAAAGGAGTAGGGTGCAGCGGCCTATTGCAGTAAACGGACGGGCAGTGCCTACAGGGTGAGCTGCAGCAGGATGGCAAAGACAGAAGGGTACAAGACCAGTTTGTTCCAGACCCACAGGTGCAACCCACAGGTACGTGCAAAAGCAGCTCACACCAGAGGAACCCA